CCATCGAGTAAAGAGCCTTTACAAGGTTTACGTACTTCTGGGTACGCCTTTCAATGACAGACACTGTCACAGAATCTCGCGGTCTACAGAGTCAAATACTGCTTTTAAGTCGAGAAAGACCACCATTGTCGGACGCCGATAAGTATGCCTGTGTTCTAGATCCTGAAGAATGGTGAATATGTGGTCGATGCAGCCACGACCAGGTCTAAAGCCAGCTTGGTTCTCTCGTGTTTGTAGTTCACGAGTCTTAGTTGGGCGTCCAATAATTATCGAGGCTAGTACTTTAGATACTATATTAGTTAAACTAATCCCTCTATGGTTGTCACAGGATGATTTTAACCCTACCTTATATATTGTGACGATAAGTGATTGTGACCAGTCAGATGGAATAACGTCTAACTCCCAGATCTTAGCCAAAATATTAGTCAACCTAATCGCTTAAATTGGTCCACCATCCTTAAACACCTCTGGAGCCAATCCATCTGGACCAAATGCCATTCCTCGTTTCAGATTAGCTATAGCCTTTTGAACTTATGCTAGAGTTGGGGGACCTACTTCAATGTTCCATTCACACTGTCTGGGAATGATGGGTAGTTGTAGAGTAGCTGGAGGCCAACTGAACTGCTTTTTAATGTGTTTCGCCGATCTTTATAATCGTCTGAACTGGGGGCAGATGAGTGTCGTCATTTTCTGAGATATTCTCACTTACATTTGACTTAGTAATTCCAGTTTCTTTTATTAATCTGTAAAGCTGTCTTGTGTTCCATATAGCCGCCGCCTTTTCCATCTCTTTTGCTTTCGTTGCCCACCACAGCTCACGGTCGTTCCTTAGACTTTTGCTTAATCTAGATCTGATTTGTTTTCGCTCTTCATCGTGTTCAGAACCCGATGGAATGAGTCTGCGAGAATCCATCAGTGCAATAGACCTTGAAAGGAATCCATTGGTTCTTTGTAACCCTGTGGCCTAAATCACTAATAGATGTCACTGCTATTTCCACAGCTGC